TCCTATTGTGAAACCTGTCCTGCACGAAGTCAAGAACCCACACACTACCCGCTGGCCTTAGGCAGACCCGCTCTGGGCCTGGTCTTTCCCGTAACACTATTACTTTTCAGATCAAGAACCCAGGGCTTGGATGTATGATGTCACTTCCCAGGGCCACTCAGACAGAAGCAGGGCTGGAATTCCACCCCAGGCAGGCCTCACGGCCACTGCTTCACCCCAGATGGAAACCTTGCTTTCATCCTGACGGCCTTATCCTGGATTCCCTTCTGTTGATTTAGCCTCCAAAGTGCCTCTTGAGTCTGTTCCCCTCTCCTCTATCCTCAGCCCAGCCTCTTATTTCAGGGCCTTTTTTTGTTGTTAATCCTCACCCAAGGATATTTTTCCCATTGATATTTAGAGAGAATGGGAGGAAGTGAGGGAGGGAGAGAGAGAGAAACATTGATGCTAGAAAGACACATCTATCAGTTGCTCCATGTGCCCCAACTGGGGCTGGGGATGAAACCTGCAACCCAGGTACATGTTCTTGACTGGGAATCGAGCCTGAGACCCTTCAGTGCCCAGGCTGGCACTCTAACCACTGAGCGACACCGGCCAGGGCCAGGCCCTTTATGATCTGCTGGGATTTTTGCAATAGCTTCTTAGAAGATCTCTCTGAATCCAGGTCTGGCCTCTGTGAATCTATTATCTGTGCCTCTGAAATACAGAGGTGACCACAAGATCCTGATAGGGTGTCCCAAGTGTAAGGCAGAGTCCAGTTTCCTTTGTCTACCATGCAGGACCATTACAATCTGTCCCCAGTATAACCAGACGCCCCATGGCGAAGCGAACCCCATGCTCCCAGGACAGTCATTACTTCCCAACAAGGGTCGCATGTGCGTTCCTCGGCGGCCGGGTACATGGTCCCCTCCTTCCTGGCCTGGTAAACTACACATCTCTCCCATTTCAAGTCAAAACCTCATCTCCATTGTGAAATATTCTCTTAGTCTCCTGGTCTCCAACCCTCCTCCATGAATCCCCATCTGCAGAGACTGCCTCACCATTTATTATGTGTCCTTGTCTATTTGTCCATGGCCCTGACTGGGCCCTGAGCTCCTGGAGGACAGAGACTGTGTTGCCTTACCCACTTTGGGACCCCCCTCCCCCATCCCTAGGGCCCAGCACACAGCAGCTACTTGATAATTGTTGAATGTTCAACCAAGCAGTAGGTCTAAACTGGATTTCTGTGCACGACCAGAAAATTAGCCTCCCTACAGCACTTCTGCCCCCAGCCCCTAAAGCCAAAAATATAGAGCTACCACTAATCTGCAGCTTTAGACAAATTTTTAAAAAGCGCCTCCTCTAGGATACCCAGCCCAAATGTCACTTCCTCTGTGCCTCTCGGGCATTTAGCACCTTGCTGTTTCCTAGCCCCCTGCCTGGGAAAGGCACCATATTTGAGTCTTACCGTATTACATCTCAGTTCTTTCTTCACCGCTTGGTCTCACTGCAGTGAAAATAGGGATCCTGTCTTAGCCACCTTTGAGTCTCAGATGCCCAGGATGATGCTTTTCAAAGCCACGGTAGGTTTTCAGAAGATGTTTTAGACTGAAGCCAGAGCTCCAATCCAGTTACTCCTCAGTTCACATCTTCACAGAGCCTCCCATCTGCCTCATGATTGTTTCAAACTCCCAGCCAGGCATGCCAGGGGCTCAGCCTCACAGCTCTCCAGTCACACCCACCCCCTTCCACACACACACCCCCCTCCACACACACACACACACACACACACACACACACACACACATACACACACTTCCTCCTCCTCAGGTCGCCTACACTCATCTGTGCTGTGGGCAGAGTGGGCTTCTGAGCATCTCTTACCTCTGGGTCTTTGCTCACCTGTCCCTCTGCCTACAATGCCCTCTTTGCTTGTCAAAATTCTATGCATCCTTCAAGGCCAACTCAAATGCCATCTTCTGCACGAAGCATCCCACCCGAGATGTGGCCTCATGCTGCTGAGGTCCAAAGTACTTTGCCCTTCCCGGGTCATGCCCGAAGCAGTGCTCTGTGTTTGAATGATGTGTTATTCCCAGACTTTAGTTCAGCGCACACAGTAAGAGCTCAGTAAATACCGGGCGAAACAGATCAGGGAATCCAGCACTACGCCTGCACATGGACAAGGCAGCAAACTCATGCTCTGGGACCCAGCAGGACACAGACCGCATACATCGCCCCTCCCTTCTTGCCCCAGCCAACAGAGCTTGGCTTCCCTTCTAGAGAGGTAAGAGAAAGGTGTGACAGCTGAACTTCCTTTGCTCCACCCTCTTTCTTTTCCCAAAAACAGAGTAGAAATTCACCTCTGACGGCCTTGATTTCAAGCTCCTGCCGGACAGGACCCACGCAGGCACATGCCCCCGGCACTCGGCACACCTCCACGGCGCCGGCCCCGCGGAAGCCTCCCTCTCCAGCATGAAGCCTGCGCCCCCGGCCGCCCTGGTCCTTGGCCTGGTCTTCGCCTCCTTCCAATCGGCTTGCTTGGCAGGTGGGACTGTGAGCTCTGTTCTTGGCCACGCTGGGAAGGGGAAGGGAGGGGGCGGAGGGAAGGAAGGAGGAGTATTCCTCGGCCAGGGCTGGTCCTGCACAAAGAGGAAACAATCCCTTCTCGTCTGAAGGATTGGGCAGAGGTGGGGTGGGGGTGGTGTCTTAAATGTACGCCTGTCCTCAGCTAGGACAGGAGCAGCCACCTCTGTTGACCTTTACCACAAAGAACAGAGGAAAAGCAATGCACAGAGCCTCTCCCAGCGGGGGACCAAATGAGCCCAAAATGGCATCTTCTGGGTGCAGTTTCTCCTTCTCAGAGCCCGGGGCTGCTGAGCTTGGCAATGCTCCCTTTGCACTGCCCCTCCCCTCCCCTAAGGCCCTCTGACCCTCTCCTGACCCTGTGCTTTCTTTGCAACTGTCACAAAACCCAAATGCATGAAAGCTGCCAAACTCAGTCTGCCGTACTCCTGTCTCCCCGGGACACGGGAGATGTTGGGTTAGTGCCTTGTGGAGGCTGGAAGGCTGGAGGGGTTGAGGCCATCCCGTCAGGGTGTCCCAGGCTGGGCACCCTGACACTCC